TATATATATATATATATATTAAAATTATTAAATTATTAAATTTTTAATGAGAAAGACTAAAATTCCACAATTATGATATTTGAGAGATTAAAATTGTTCAATTAAAAATTGTGAGACTAAAATTACACAATTATAATCTTTTAACGACTGAAATTACTCAATTAAAACCTTAGAGAACAAAATTGCATAATTATAATATCAAAAACACAATTAAGTAAAGAATATTTTATTCACAGTTCTGGAACGGGCCGTTCTGAAACCAGAACGGCCCGTTCTGATTTCAGAACGGCCCGTTCTGCTTCACTGGTAGTGTTTTAATTTTGCAACCAAAACGGCCTGTTCTGAAACCAGAACGGGCCGTTCTAGGTCCAGGTGTTTTCAAAAAAATTCTCATCCACGTGGATACCACGTATGCATCTACGTGGCGTCCACGTGGCCAAAAGTTAACATCGTTAAAGCAATTTGGACGGAAAGTCCCACATTGAAACCAATTAATTAATTTAGGACTAAATTGAAACCAATTAATTAATTTGAGACCAAATTGAGACAAAAAATTAATGCGGGACTAAATTGAAACAAAAAAAGATTATAAGGGACCAAAATAGGGTTTTAACCTATATTTTTATACAATAAATATAAAATACAATGTAAAATACATAATATAATGTTAGTATGTTATTTAATATATAAAAATGTATATTTATATTTATTGGGTGAAAAATATATTGAATGATAAAATTTATATTTATAAAATGAAAAAGTAATAAAAACATACAATAAATATAATATTAGTATACATATTAAAGATAATGATATATTACATTTAGTTTTATTTTTGGTATAACTTACATTTTTTTTAGAATGTCATCATGGATTACTACAAATAGTACATGATTCAGTCCTGGTTTGAAATTATGTGAGTTTGACGCTTTCTACAACCATAAAATCTTATTTTGGTGGGTATATCTACTCAAGGACATCTTTTGGTGTCAATGATGAAATTCCTCTAATGAATCTCTGTTGAATCTTAATTCGATTAGCAAAGTTCTAGGTTAAATTGGGCATTGTTAAGTTTTGACTAACCATTCGGTGGACAATAATGTTTGATTTGAGAATTTTTGATATGTCATTGGTTATACGCCTGATAGCCATAAATGTATCATCATTTATCTGCCATTTTTATGTAAAAAAAAATCTTTTAAAAATAACAAAAATCAACAATTTAAGAGATTATCATGTAACATTTTTGAATTGCCAAGCAACCTATTATTTGCTTAATTAGACCAAAATTCTTTTTCATCATCCATTCAATACCCACAATGTTTTATAACCTAGTGAATTAGTATCTAAACTCACAAATAAAATGTTGAAGAACTGGTCACAATATGCCTAACAAATTGGAGGTGTTAATTAGTATATTTGAGATTGAGTTTAGTTTTTTCTTCAAAATACAGAAACTTGCAAAATATCGAAGCAACCTTTGTTGAAGTATGCATAAAAATGAAAATTTAATTGAAGGAACAATAACATATATCTTGGAATAAATTCAAAGGGATACAATATACGATAATTCACCACTGTAACAATCACTTTTTTCTCGTAATCATAGATAGTACTCTTGAATATTAATTGCATCCATAATGTCTTGGATTTTGGTAAATTAGGCTAATCATATTCTGTTTTATGATGAGACTACAGTCATGAGACCTAGTCCAAGAACAAGGGCCACCCATTTTCCATGCACATTGATTTTCACAGTGCCAGAGTTTTCGCTTGTGGAATTAATTTGAGATGAATCTGAGGAATCTGCAGATAATGGGTCCTTATCAGCTTTTGGCGCTTTTGCAGCATCACTTGAAGGTTGTGGAGCCAAGGAGGGTCCCTTTGCAGGTGCCTTAGCAACAACAAAGAAGTCCATTGGAAGAAGCACCTTTCCCACCTTATATATAGCAAGATGTTTATCCGTATATATAATGCCAGTGATGGTTGTGTTAACCTCACCCGTTGATATGTTCACACTCCCACCGTAGCTTATCACATTCAGTTCCACCTTCCCAGGTTTAGCTCCTGCAAGTGTTCTCACGGGATTTGTAAGAGTATCAAAGTTGGAGCTAGATACATAGTCTGAAATAACGTGGAACTGTAAGAGCTCGAGTTTTTGTCCATCCGAGAGAGAGTTGAGGAAGCCTGCTTTGAGTTCTGAGAAGGCACTGTCATCGGGTGCAAGAATGGTGATGCCACCAGATTTAGTAGTGAGGAGTTGTGCATTAAGTTGGTTGATCAATTGGGTGGTTTTCATGAGGCGGATTAGGATGTTGAATGACTTAGCCTTCCTCAGGATTCCAACAATGTCAAGTGCTGCAGTGTCTGGTGTTGAATCACTTGGTGACTGTGGCAATGAGGGAACCAATGCTTGTTTAGGTGCCTCAGCTGGTGGGGTAGGGCTAGGTTGAACTGGTTTTAGAGGGGCAGAAGCTGGTGATAATTGGGCTAAAGTGGTTGTGGAATACAAAAATGAAAGTAGCACTACTAGTGAGATGGACAAGAGAGATTGCTTCTTCATTTTGTTAAGTGGAGGTTTAGATGATATTGGAAAGGAATGATAGGATTTGTATTGGCAATGGCACTTGATGCATTGATCGATGAAATGGTGGAGATGGGTTTTATAGAGCAAATGTAGGAGTGGGAGATAATGATAGGCAGGTGAGAGGCTTTGTTTTAAAAGCCCATGCTATAATGGTGATTCGTGAACGTTTGGGATGGAGATATTAAGGTGTTGTTGCATCAATCAAGGTAGATACGGTAACAAGAGATTTGGATGATTGTGAAGTAAGTTCTAGCTTCGATGGTCACTGCTACCACACACTATTGGTTGATTTGTATGGATTTCATTTTAATTTTGTCTTTTATATGGCTCTACTGATCAGATTGGTGTCAAAAGTATACCAAAAAAATTTGAAGTGTACCAAAAACAGATTTTTGACAAAGTAAGTAACAGAAAAATCCGACTATCCTCTCTAGAACAGTGGATAGTGTGGTACATGCAAAAATATTTTATTGCAGTGATATGATTGTAAAAAAATAAAAAAAATTTGTGCTTTCAAATAATGTTCAAATAATAAACGTAAATTAATCATTAATTATCAAGTTTGAAACATTATGTAAATCATGTTTATAAGTAAATAAAAAATAAATAAAAAAAGTAAATAAGAAATAGGGCAGAGAGAGTGAAAATAAGATTATAGAAATGAAAAAAGTTGTTTGGTTAAAAAAAAATTGAAAGAAGAAAAATTATAAGGTGGTAGATCCCACCTTTTATTTATTTATTTCTTTATCTTCTTTTATATACCTCATTTCTTATATATTTCTCGCATATTTCTTTTCAACTAAACAATTTAATTTTTATTTTATTTCTTTTCATTTTTTATTTTATTTCTCAACTATTTTTTTCTCCTCTACCAAACAAATGAGAAGAGTAATTTTGATTCTTAAAGAAAATATTTTTAGAAAATATTTTTCAACTTCTTTTCTCGTTTATTTTATCTATACATTTTTAGTTTTATATTAAATTTAATATTTTAAAAAATTATCATAATTAAAAATAATCTTATATAACTAGTCTCATTGAAGATGTAATAAAGATAAAATTGTTACATTATTATAATATAAAATAAAATAAAATTTAAATTTATATATTTAAAAACATTTATTTATTATAAATTAGAATTATATAAATAAAATATTTATTCTATGTATTGTATATGCTTAAAATAGTAATTAAATAATTGTGTAAAAACATTTTAAACTAACAATGCATATTTTATTTTTATCATTATAATAATAATCTTTGTTTTAATAAGATGTTTATTTAAAAGACGTGAATTTAATTAGTGTGCAATAAAAACGACTTAATAAAGACTAATTTAAAATTATTGTAAATGCATATTTTATTTTTTAAAATAATATTACTTTACATTTCATTATTATTAATTCAAATTTTAAAAGTTTTTTTTTTCTCAACATGATAAAAATCGTCTGCATATTTTTTCTATTTAAAACTAATTTTGATTTTTATCTCCCTGTCGTGTCTAAAGAGACTAGTAATCTTACACAAATAAATCATATAATCCAGAAAATAGAAAAAATTAGTTATATATATATATATATATAAAAGATGAATTTGAGTTAGGATTTCTGTGAGTAGAATGAGATGAAAATAGATCTTAAAAATAAGATGAATTCTAAAAAAAGGAAATATTATTAAAATATTATCTACGAGATTTTGCAAGTCAGGGTAATGACCCTGAAAATGAGAAAGAATTGTTCAATCTTTGTCATGCGTTTTTAAAGAATGTGATCGAAAGAATATTTGATATTTTTAAATCAAGGTTCATAATTTTTAAGTCAACACTTCCATTTTTATTTAAGACACAAGTAGAACTTGTGTTAATATGTGCAACATTACATAACTTCCTACATAAAGAATGTCGTTTTGATGAATTTCTAATTGAAGCGGTGGATGAATTTTCATCGTCAACATTACTAATTAATGAAGATCATACTTTTGAGCCTATTATTTAAACCCACGAGTAAGAGCGAGAAGATGCTAATGTTTGGAGGACTAGTATAGCTATCGATATGTGGGTGAATGTTATTTAAGAGGATAGAATATTATGAAGATTATTATTATTATTAATATTTATCTAGACATTGTTGTTTTTTATTATTTTTGTCTTTGACTCTTTTTAAATTTGAATGTATGAATTTTTTTTTATAAATCTTATCAAATGTAAAAAATTCACGAAAATCCTACAAAATCTCACAAAATCCATTAAAATCTTGATTTAAAAGTATGACAGAATCCATTAAAATCCTGATTTTAAGTCATATAGAATCTTGCAAAATCTTAAAAGTCATAAAAATCCTGCAAAATCTTTTAAAATTTGCAGGGTTTTTTTTAACTAAAAAAGTCTTTTAAAATCCTTATCTAATACACCCCCTTAATTTTTGTTAAATCAGTTTCGCATCATCATAAATAAAATCTGAAAATAGGAGTTAGATTAGGTTCGGGTCGGTTTTAGTCCGTTTATATTGGATCGGGTCGACCATTACCCGCTTACAAAAAAGAGTTAAATTGGGCTTATGTTTGTTTTCGCTGGAACAAGTGTCTAAACGTAAACCCTAACAAAACCCCATCCAAGTCCAATGGGGAAGAAGCAGAAAATCGTTCTTCCACCGGACCTTCCGCCGGAGATCCCTGACGACGACATTGAAGTTTCCGACGATGACCTCCAATTCGTCAAGGAGAACCGCGGCTATGCCTCCTTACTCTCCACTTTGGATACCCAATCAATCACCAAGTTCGATTCTCTCTTCTTTTTTTTCTTCAATAGTTTCCCTTACTTGTAATGCTACATTCTGTGTGCCATGGTTGTTATCTCCTAAACTGTATATATATAGCTCATAGCTTATAAGCTTATGTCAATGTACTTTGGAAATAACTCTCCCACGCATACTTAGGCATGTTACACGGGTTGCTGATGCCAAAGATGACGCATTGGAGAAAATATATGAGAAACGCTTGCAAAAGAATGCTCTCAAGAAAGAAAAAGAAGAAACTGGTTTGCAGGTTGATCGTGTAGATGCTCTTCCAATCAAAACATTGGATGGAAAAGTCTATTACCGGACAGGTATATAATTTGGGCCTATTAAATGAAATAGGGTTAGGCATAAGCTAATTTGTAGAAGCCCTTTCGTATAGCTTCTCCAAATAATTACAAATAAGCCTATTCATAAGCTAGTTTTCGTGTATGGAGAAGCTTATTTCATTTTTTTTTTCCCTAGAAGTGCTTCTCGAGAAGTTTATCCAATCATACCGTTTATGCATTATTGTTGTCACCTGGTTACTCTTTTATTTCTTTTATTAAGTGCCCTGGTAACTGATGCTGTTCTCACATTCTGCAGCTACTAAGACTGTAACGGAAAATGATCCAAGTGAAGAGGGAGCTGGAGAGGATGTCGATGTAGACAAAGGTCTAGTGAAGCTAACAAAGGCTGAAAAGAGAGCCAAACTTAAGAAGATGAAAAAAGAAGCAAAAAAACAAGGAAAAGAGGTGGCTGAAGCAGAAGTGGAAGAAACACCGCAAGCAGCAGTACTGGTATTATTCAATCAAATTAGCTATATTATTTTACTCTTTATGGTTTTAAAGCTCCTTTATTTTATCCAATCAAATTAGCAATATTATTTTACTCTTTTATGGTTTCAAAGCTCCTTTTCCTTTTTGCACCTGATACTATATCAATTTTCAAATGGAATGCTTTGTTAAAAAGGAATCTAATGAATTGATAGAAAATTAAGTTTCTTTTTAATTGATTGCATGCAATAGCAAATTTTCTCTATTACTGTTCTGATGAATCGTGTTCCACACACATCAGCAACTGATTTTCAGAGGTAGTTGTCTGTTATTTTTCATGTACTCTGGTTTTGTCTTTATGCATTTCACTATTAAGGTACTAAGGTTATCTTTTTCTTTTTCTTAATTATCATAGCATGTCACCTCAACAATTCCATCCATTAAAAACAGAAAAATGCTACACACTATTAAGTTATTTTCACATGTCTCACTAAATATAAAGAGTGTGCCCGAATTATTTAATAGGATTTGTGTAAATTCAACTAGTAATAGAATGTGCTTGAAATATTGTGTTGCATGCATAAGTAAAAATAATTGTTTATTTTTTTGAAAATTTCATATATTCTCTTGAACTGCCAACTTTAAAAAAAAAAAAAGACTAGAAATGGTTGAACTTGATGTTTTGGATAATTTTGGGTATATGCTCCTAACTTTGTTTAGGCTGAGGTAAAAGAAGATCTTACAGCCGAGGAGGCATTTGAAAGTAAGAAGCACAAACTTGCAGAATTGGGGAATGCCTTGCTTACAGATCCAGAGTCCAATATTAAATTTCTGAAGGAGATGGTACAGATATCTAAAGATAATGATCATACCATTGTTAAACTTGGACTTCTATCCCTCTTGGCTGTTTTCAAAGATATTGTCCCTGGGTACTTCCTGATAGTTATATATTATATATTATAATACACATTTTCTATGTAATGATATGATGATATTTTGCTTTGACAATCAAATTTAATTCTATATTTAATGTTTCAACTTTCATGTTAATGCATGGAATGTGGCAGCTATCGGATCAGGCTTCCTACTGAAAAGGAACTAGAGATGAAGGTTTCAAAGACAGTTAGAAAGACGCGTTATTATGAGTCAACTCTTCTTTCATCATACAAGGTTCACATTCATGCTTGAGTGTTACATAATATACTATAATTACTTTATTTAGCTGAAAGCTAATACTTGCATATATGACTTCCAGTTCTTGTGCTTCTTGTCTTTTTCTTGAATCTACTTCATCCATTGCTCAAATTGTTTATAATATCTTATTTGTAATTATTATTATAAAATATGAATTTTTTCATATTTGTGCCACTAAGATGTTCTCTTTTATACTTTTGTCATGTTGCAGGCATACCTGCAAAGGCTGGTAGCCTTAGAAAAGAAGCCTTTATTTCAGCTTGTGGCAGTTCGTTGTATTTGTTCTTTGCTTGAGGCAAATCC